ATGAGTGCTCTATCTGCATGTACACCTGCATGCCAGAAGAGGGCACCAGATCTCATTACAAATGGATTTGAGCTACCCTATCATTGCTGGGAATTGAATTCAGGACCTCTGGAAATGTAGCCAGTGTTCTTAACCACTGAGCCATCTCTCCAGCTCCTGCTTTTCTAGTTTTTGTTTACTTTGTTTTATTTTTGTTTTTTGAGATTTTATCCCAGGTCCTGACTGGCCTCCAACTCATTTTTGTAGCCCTATATGTTCGTAACCTCTGGATCCTTCTTTATCAGCTTCCTAAGAATTGAAATTCCAAAGTCTTCCACTAGAGGCCTTCAGATGAAGATGTAGAACTCTCAGTTCCTCCAGTACCATGCCTGCCTGGATGCTGCCATGCTCTTGCCTTGATGATAACGGACTGAACCTCTGAACCTGTAAGCCAGCCCCAATTAAATGTTGTCCTTTATAAGACTTAAAAGGGGGGGGCGGCTGGAGAGATGACTCAGCGGTTAAGAGCACTGGCTACTCTTCCAGAGGTCCTGAGTTCACTTCCCAGCAACCACATGGTGGCTCACAACCATCTGTAATGGGGTCTGATGCCCTCTTCTGGTGTAATTGAAGACAGCTAAAGTGTTCTTGTATAAATAAAATAAATAAATCTTAAAAAAAAAAAAACAATTGAAATTCCAGGTGTGAACTGTCACATTCTATCTTTATTTCTCTGGATTTCTACTGCCTTCTCAGTAACTAATAATGATAAATCCCTCCTCTGATAACTTCTTCCCTTCCCTTGAGAAATAGGATATGAAGTAGGATTTAGAACTAAGAATATTAACTTGAGTTTGGGGATTTAGCTGTGTTGAGTCTCTGAGTTCAGCAAAACACTTACTTCTCCCTGTATCTGATTCTAGGTCCCAGGATGTTCCTTTCCTTTGGGAGGGGGCGGGGGAAGACTGCTGAACAATGAGACTGTTCAGAAAAAACAACTTGGACAAACAATAGTTTTCTCAGTAGTGTATCCTGTACACATTGATTATTGCCCACCTTCCCAGGAAATAAGACAGAAGGAAAGATTCTGACATGCAGGAAAATAGTTTTGATGGCCTAAGTGTTTCTCAAGTTTGTTTTGAGTAAGTCTCATCAAAGGAGCTGCTAGTGAGAATTTTTGTCATTTGAGTGCTGACCAGCAGGTGGTACTATTGTACCTCCCTGAACTCTTAGACCTGATCTAGGACAACTGAAGTTGAGACAACACTGAATTGCATTCCAGAGGCTGGTTCCTTTGTACAGATAATCTCTTCTTGATCTAGGGAAGCAGATAGGTTGACTCCCGATAGCTTTCAGAGGCATGATGGATTGGCAGCAAGGAGGCCAATCAGTGCCATTGTTTTCCTGGTGACAAACAATACAACATACCAACAGGTGTCTCTGTCCATCCCTCTCTCTTATTTCCTCATCCCTCCCAGCATATGTTCCTAAAAAAGGGTGTTGTGACTCTTGTGTCCTGAGTCCTGCCCCTTGCATTCCTCTTTCCTCTATTTGTCCCTAAACAGCTTCTGATTTCATCTGGGGTTAAGAGCATCTCATGGCTAGGATGATGGCCTGCTGCACAAGCAGGAGGAACTGAATTCAGTTCCCCAGCATCCACAGAAGAGCCAGCTATGGCTCTGTCCATCTGCAATCCCAGCACTGGGGGAAGGGACAGGGGCACAGACAAAGCAGATCCCAGGACTTGATGACCAGCTAGCCTAGCTAATCAGTGAGCTCTGTGTTCAGTGAGAGACCCTGTCTCCAAAAACAAGGTGGAGCAATATAGAGGAAGGTATCCATTGCCTACCTCTGCCTCCACACCCTCACAGGCAAACACACACAGATAAACAACACACACACACACAAGGATCTTACACATGGTTGCACAAAATTTAAATATACTCTTACTGTCACCAGACTGTAGCTTAAAGATGGTTAAAACTATGTATCTTGTGTATGTATATTTTGCTACAACTTAAAACTATAATAGAAGCTAAACTCTGAGAAGAAAAAAACAAGATTGGGCTGACCTTGTCACACCAGTGCCCTCTCTTTGTTCAAGCAGCCCTAAAAAAATCCCACACATTCAGGAAGGCGTCTCAGATAACCAGACTACCAGTGTAGACACGTAGCTATTGGCTCTCTCATTTTCCTGTTGACTTAGTTATTAATCTCAAGGTCAGAGGCTGAGCTGTTAGCCCTTTTTTATTAGACAAAGCACCCTCTCCACAATGATGCACATATTGTGATCTTTGCTCTCTACTTAAACCTCAGCATTCTTCCCCAGTCCATGCTCTCCCCAGCTGCTACAGACACTCTCTTTGCTATCTTGTTCTCTTTGAAGCAAAGGTCAGCAAGTTTTTAGTAGAGACAGATAGAATGCCTGGCTTTACAGGTCATGCGGACTCTATAGCAATTATTTTATTGAACAGAAAAAAAAACACTAAACATTATGTTCTAATACTACTTTACTTACAAAACCAGGCTGTGGCAGGGCTTAACCTACAGGTGGTACTTGGAGAAAAGATGCCTTTCTTCCTGCTTCTGTCTCAACAAATTTCCTCCTCTTTGTTTGTTTGTTTGTTGTTTTGTTTTGCTTGAAACAGGGTCTCTCTCTATAGCCATACCCATCCTGAAACTGACCATGTAGACTAGGCTAGCCTCAAACAGAGATTTATCTGCCTGCTTCTGCCTTCCAGGTGCTGGATTAAAGGCATATATTACCGTGCCTGGCCTATTTCTTGTTCCTGTACATATCTATGAGGGGTACTTACTGAGTACGTGAGAAGGTAACAAAGGGAACAGGATTAAGTTGAGAATTTAAATTTTTAAGACAAAATTTTACATATTTAAATTCTTTAGCCAGGTAATAGTGGCACAGAGAGGTAGCAGCTTGTACTGGACAAGACTTTTAGACACTGAGGCTGCATTTAGTGCATGCCACCAGATTTGCATCACGAATCTCTGGTGTGTACTCTAACACTACATCTGAGCCTTTGAAAGAGAAGCGCCTGCCGGGCAGTGGGGGCAGTGGTATTGCACACCTTTAATCCCAGCACTTGGGAGGCAGAGGCAGGTGGATTTCTGAGTCCGAGGCCAGCTTGGTCTACAGAGTGAGTTCCAGAACAGCCAAGGCTACACAGAGAAACCCTGTCTCAAAAAACCAAGAGAGAGAGAGAGAGAGAGAGAGAGAGAGAGAGAGAGAGAGAGAGAGAGAGAGAGATGCCAAAAAGAAGAGCAGATGCCTCATGGCAAAGACTGAATGTGAGGATCTAAAAGCATTTGTGAGTGATTTACTCTGTCTTTTAAGCTGTTTTTCAAAGCCAAATGTGATTTAAAATAGCATCAGATTCTAGTTTTCTCCTCACCCGGATGCTGAAAAATGCCTGTGTAACTGACATAACCTTTTTAGTTGCTGTTAAGATCCCTATGGGCTAAGTAAATGTAGCTGGTTAGGGGGTTGGATTTAATCCTCAGCCCCCCAAGTAAAAAATAA